GAAGGAGCGTCTGGCTTTTGGGTGTTCTCCATCCAGGCCGTGCTTTGTATGCATGGCAGAGGACGCTGTAATGGTGCATTGCACATTGAAATGCTTTCTGTTTTCAAAAAGGGACCTTCATATATCTGCTGCCTAAAGCTGGAGCGCTGCCTTTGTTCCAATGCCCTTCAATAAATACCCCACAAGAAATTACTCCAGGTGCCCTTGAGAGAGCCAGAGAAGAAGATATTTGCTGAACAAGACCAGGAAAGTTGTGGTCTTTTATGAGTCTGGGTTAATATCATTAGCTTCACACAGAGCATTGGCTGAACCCCCTCTACCTCTTCCCCTGCTGAAAGCCCCAGGGCCCCTGTGGGACTCGCAGGAACACAGGGCCTTATCTGTGGAGTAAGGTGTGTCCCACACAGCACTGCCATTCATCACTTCCCCCACTCCCATCCCACCATCACACAGGCAGAGATTAAGCTCTGACACAGTGGGAATGATGGAGCACCTTGGAAGTATTTTTGAAGAAAAGCAAATGTGCTTGGAATTGGGTCTTTGACAGTTTTTCAGGGCAGAGGTGTTCAAATCTAGACCTTGAATCCAGAATCTGGTCCTGTATTTTGTACATCCTAGTAGTTAATCAAACGGTTGTAACTGAATATGTCATTCCTACCAGTAATTACAAAATCAAGGACTGGAAATTGGATTTAAGATCTGGATTCTAGAGTAAACAAAACCGTTTAGCCACAGGTTTTGCAAAAAATATATCAGATTTTCACAGTTTTCCTTGTAGTTGTAGTTTACATCGATAAAAATGTACAAACGTGCATAACTAAAAACAATAGGAATAACCATCTCGAAGCTTGTTGTTTTTTTATAGATACCTGGTGTCATCAAAGAGTGTCAGTAAGTCAAAGAGTATCAGAAACCACATGTGCCAGTCTGTCTGGCTCAGCAAGGTTTGAGTCAATTGACCGTTTTTAAAATATTGATTGACACTCCTCTCAGCCAGTCAGAGCCATCTCTGAGTTCTACTTCCTCTGTCAAGCAAAAGAAAACTCATCAGAACTGTCTTGCAGTGAGAATGGCAAGAATTATTAAGCTAAGTAAGGTGCAGAACTGTTTCTGGAGAGAAAAGAGCTTGTAATTTAGACTGTTTGTGCTGTTTGTATTTCATTCCTGACGCTGGAAAGATTTTTTGCTTAAACTATGTGGAGGACCAGATTTACAAACTAGCCACAGAAAATGAACAGCAGAATTACTTGAATTGTTTCATTAAAGTTTGCTGAAAGACATTGTGTCCCAGACGACGAGTCTTTCCTCAGCCCCTGCTGTTGCTCTGACTACCTGTATTGTTAGCTTTAGCATTAGCTCATCTGAAGGGTCAGCTTTCTTTGCTCCTTATCACACATATGAAAGCAGTTGGGACCAAGGGAGGTGGGAATTTGGCAATTGTGTGACAATTTAGGCATGCAAGCATGTTTTGGCTGCTTGGCTGCATTTAGGGTAAGGGGAAACTGTATAAATTTGATTTTGGTCAAACTGTCGCTTTAAGGTGAGGTAAAAGAGGCCAGTGTAAAATGTCTGGGTTGACTGGGTGAAAATACAACTAAGCAGACGGAGGCAATTCCGTCCAGCTCTGCGTTGCATGCTGGGCAGTGGATGAATCTGAGGTGCTCTGTGCTCTAGATGGTGGCTATGGGGGGTTTCCCTACTGGCCATGCCCAGAAACAGGGCCATCTATTCAGCTGCCTCCACAGCACACAGAGGGGGGCACAAAGGCCTGCCTCTTCTGTAGTGTGAAGGAAGAGGGGGGCGTCCAGGCTAGACAACTGTGCAGCAGCTCTGGTCCCAGTGCAGGAAAAGAGGGAGCATTATAGAAGCAGTGACCCCGAAACCTCATGAGTCCAGTGGGACATCTCCATTAACCCTCGGATAATTAAGGCCAGCTCAGCCAGAGGTGGGGTGCAGCCCTGTAAAATCACAACCTTAGTTTAAAGCAATGCACCTTTGTTACTGCACCACTTGCTGCTCTGGTCAGGTCAAATAGAAAAAGTTTTGTGGCTATATTTTCGTGGCCACTTTGTTTGGAGTCCAGGCAGACCATCAGGGTTACTAGTAAAGCGGTTTTGTGGGTGGCAGAACTTGTTAGCACATTAAAATGTTAGCATATAGACAGGCAAGCTAATAGCTGTTCATAGCTAATGTTTATAAGCATACGTATGCTTATAAACATTAGCTATGAACAGCTATTAGAGAAAAAAGTAATGGTTTAATATAACTTCTTATTCTGGTTGGCTTAATCGCGTTGCTTTTACTAAGCGCTAACAACAATCAGTTACCTGTTTACTAGCTACGCTAATCCCAAAAGCTTAAGCTCTCAAGAGAACTATATGTAAAGGGGTTTGCCTTGGCAAAGCTGTCCTGTATGGGCTTCCTGTGTGTCTGTGTAGTACATTACTAGATCTCTGTAGATTCTGACACAGCTGTGAAACATGTGCCGTGATTTTTGTGTATTTATTTCACAAACCCCAAAGTGGAACAACTACTCTTTCTAATTTACCATTTCATCATGTCCTGATTTATTATCTGGTGCGTATAGATTGCTGAAAATAAGATGGCTGAACGCTGTAATCAAAAGCCAGAGATGTATAAAGCAAACTCTGTGGGTATCAACAGTTGTTGGTACAGTTGGTCGTTCCTAGCCCCTCTGATGTGTCCAGACACTGTGTGGAAAAGAGGCCAGGAGGCCTGATTACAGTAACCACAGTGCAGGCATAATGATGGGGTAGCTTTATTATGTAATTTGTGCTAATTTACTAATTAAGGATGTTGAGGAGTGGGCATAGCCACCTACGCTGCAGTACAGAGCCAAATCAAGCCCCAATTTCCCCTTTACTCTGATTATAAGACCCTTTGGCCATAGGGCACTTCTCTCCCACACAAACGATTGGCTACATCCGACTCTTATTACGCCATGCTAATGCCTGTTTCTGCCAAAGGGAATGACCCACTTATTACCACAAAATAACAGTCCCTTTCTGGCCATATTAATGTGATGATTTGCCCAAAAATCTAATTTACACATTTTTTCATTACCTCAGCCAAAATGTATATCATTTAATGTTGGTGTTATGAGGTTTATATAGCTAACAAGTAACGGAAGCTTTTACTTCACCAGTTGGCATTGTGTGCCTATATCATCACATATTTGTATCAAAATATTATGTTAAGTAAACTCTGTTATCACTAAAATTGGACAAAAGGACAATAGGCAAGTGTGATGATTAGCTATGAAGTTTGCACAGTGCTTATTGGCAGGGTATAAACTACCATTACTTGTTATTCTTTGCGCTAGGCAAAGGTAAGCAGCCACCTAGGGCCATGAAAAAATTTGATATACTCTACATGTCGATGTTAAATAACCTATTCCGAATTACACATTTTAATAGACATTTTTTATTTGCCATTGTAGTGATTATTTTCCCCTTTCATGGTTATAGTGGACTTTTCCAAGTTGTTAAGTGATGGCACAGCTACATAACGACACACTGGTATGAACAAGGAAATTGAGTGATAATCAGGACAATGAAGAGGAGTTTCTTCAGTGTGATTTTTTTCAGTGTTAAGGGGGGAAATCAAAAGCATCCGAAAGCAGCCGAAAAAAAACAGAAAATGGAGGAAAGCAAAAAGTTTGTCTCTTCACTCCCAAAGCAAGCATTGTTTTACACAATGCAGATGTTAATGATAGTATAGATAGCGCCAGTGTTGCAGTAATCACTCAAAAAGTCATGCATTGTAAGTTACTAATGACTTCTTTAACAAATATAATGAGATCATGTCACTTATTTCTTTCTGGGAAAAGTAATTTCATTATTCTTTACTTTATTTCAGCATTACTCTGTACGAAATTGGCAGATACTTTCACTAAATAAAATTGTTTAAGAAAAAATGTCTAGAAACAAGTTAAGTAATCATATAATATTCTTATAACAATCTCAAAATGCTAAATATTAAATATGTTGACTAGATTCCACTTGCCAAGATATAATATTTTACAGTATAGATGGTTGTGCCACTCAGGAGAGCCTCGGCTAATTTACAATATGCATCCACGGGGCCCCATTCCTGCCTTTTGCCTGGAATCCCAGAATCACTAAATCCCCCTCTGGCTATTAGCATTGTAGCTCCAGTGCAAAATTAAAGAAGCACTAGGCATGTCTTGGCTAATCAGTTACATTTATGATAAGGCGAAAATCATACAAATCATACAAGATGTATTTTCCTCTGAAATACACTCTCAAAAGTGGTTCTTCAAGGGTTATTTAGTAAAGAAAATGGTTCTATTTAGAACCATGAACACTCAAAGAACCCTTAGCATGATTCAAAGTTTCTTTGCATCATAAGAGTGTAGTTCAAACTGATGGAGAACATGCTGTAAATGGTTCTATATCGAACCTTTTTGAAAAGGGTTCTGTATAGCTCCAAAAAGGGTTAAAAGGATATGAGCTTACAACCTTTTTATGATGCAAAGAACCATTTAAGCATGGAAGATTCTTACTAAAGAACCATCTTTTTAAGTGTGTATCATTTTAGTGTGCTAGCTCTTTGGGGAACCAAATGAAGGATAATATTTGCAGTATTAGCATTAGCATTGGTCCTTTTATCCTAAACTGAAGCAAAGCCCAAATTCAAGTTCATATATGAAGAAGATTAATGAACACGTTCAAATTCTAGAGAAATCGTAGTCGAGTGTGAAATTTTTGGTATCACTATGGAACACTCCAGGCTTTCCTTCACTCAGGGTCAGTAATTTGACCTACCCAGCCTTGCTTCAATCTGTAGCCACATATGCTATGACTTAATTGTCCAATCTGGGCTTGTATTATGTATCTCACTCAGTGTGACAGGTGCGACACACCCTCGCACTCTACTGATACTCTCAGTGCTGATAAACGGCTGTGACCGTCAATCTCAATCATCTCTGTGGTGTAATATTTCTCTTTCTCTCTCAGTCCTGGCTCCGGATGTATGGCTACCTCCCTCAGGCCAGTCGGCAGATGTCCACCATGCGCTCAGCTCAAATCCTGTCCAACGCCATCAGTGACATGCAGAGATTCTATGGCCTGGAGATCACTGGAGTGATGGATTCAGCTACTATGGAGTAAGACTCTTTGTAATAACTATACAGTACTGTTGGATGGGCAATATTGACTCCAGTTATTGTGACAAATATTTGCCCTAGTATTGGATTTCTCTATATCCTGTCACAGTACTGAGTAAACTTTAGTTGGGGTATCATAGCTGATCTACAGCAGCGGTTTTTAAAGGGGTGTTCCACCAATCAACCAATTTTCAAAATTTCTCACTGAGATGTAAGCAAAGTAATTTAGTTTGTTCTGGTATGAAATGATGCAATTTTTTCCCCTTACAGTGGTGGTGATAGAAACCATGGGCTGCAATGACTGCCACATAAATGTAGCCATTTTACAACCCCATTTCCAAAAAAGTTGGGACGCTGTGCAGAATGTAGATAAAAATGGAATGCAATGATGTGCAAATCATGTAAACCATATTGTTAAAGGGAAATACTACAAAGACAACATACCAAATGTTCAAATTGTGAAATGTTATGGTTTTTTGAAACATATATGCCCATTTTGAATTTGATGCCAACAACATATTCCAAAAAAGTTGGGACGGGGGCATGTTTACCACTGTGTTTCATCACCTCTTCTTTTAACAACACTCTAAGTAATTGGGAACTGAGGAGACACTGCTGTAGTTTTGAAAGTGAAATGTTTTCTTATTCTTGTTTGATATAGGATTTCAGCTGCTCAACATTGTCATATTTTTCATTTCATAATGTGCCAAATGTTATCAGTGGTGACAGGTCTGGACTGCAGGCAGGCCAGTTTAGCGCCTGGACTCTTTTAATACAGAGCAATGCTGTAATACGTGCAGATTGTGGTTTGACACTGTCTTGCTGAAATAATCAAGGCTTCAATGAAAAAGACGTCATCTGGATGGCAGCATATGTTGCCAACACATGTATATATTGTTCAGCATTAATGGTGCCTTCACAGATGTGCACATCACCCATGCCATGTGCGCTAATGCACCCCTATACCATCATGAATACTGGCTTTTAAACTGTGCACTGATAACAAGCTGAGTGGTCTTTAGCCCAGAGGACACAGAATCCATGATTTCCAAATTGAATTTCAAATGTTATTTTGTCAGACCACAGGACACTTTTCCACTTCCCCTCAGTCCATTTTAAATGAGCTCCGGCCCAGAGAAGGTGGCAGCATTTCTGGATCCTGTTTATATATCCTGTTTCTTTTTTGTGTTTTAGAGTTTTAACTTGCATTTGTGGATGCAGTGATGAACTGTGTTCACAGACAGTGGTTTTCAGAAGTGTTTCTGAGCCCATGCGGTGATTTCCACTACAGAATTATGTCCATTTTAATGCAGTGCCACCTGAGGGCCCAAAGATCATGGCCAGCAAATATTGTTTTTTGGTCTTGTCCCTTGCATACAGAGATTTCTCCAGATTCTCTGAATCTTTTAATGATATTATTTACCGTAGATGACAAAAAGCAAAAGTTCTTGGCTGTTTTATATTGAGAAACGTTATTCTTGAATTTTGAATTTGTTTGATCGTGCACTCTTTCACAGAGTGGTGAACCCCTCCTCATCTTTAGTTCTGAAAGACTCAACCTCTCTGGGATGCTTTTTTATACTCAATCATGTCAGCAACCGACCACCAGGTGTTTTTTTTAGCTTTTTTGGAATGTGTTGTTGGCATTAAATTCAAAATGGGCAAATATTTTTCAAAAAAACAATAACATTTCTCAGTTTCAACATTTGATATGTTGTCTTTGTACTATTTTCAATGAAATATAGGGTTTACATGATTTGCACATCATTGCATTTTGTTTTTAATTACATTTTGCACAGTGTCCGAACTTTTTTGGAAACTATCAAAAATGACAAGTGTCTTAGTATTTATACGTGATGTTAATGTGAAATCTGAAAAAAATCTGCTTTCTTTGGGTACTATTGTGCCTTACAACACCCTGCATGTGTCTCTCCGCAGTGGATAGATTTTAAAAATATGTTTTAAGCCAAAAGCTTCTATAAAAACCAAATCATAAAACAATGTCTCATGCATCAACCATTTCCTGTAGTACCTTTTATATGAGCTTTTTGGACATCTGTTTGCTATCACCACCGCTGTGAACGTGTGAAAGTTTCTCCACAATGCCACTTTTCACATCAAACCGCTATGAATGACTTTGTTTACATCTCAATAATTTATTCATGCAGAAATTTTGAAATATTAGTGGAGCTCCCCTTTATCTTCAGTCTTTCAGACCCGCTGCCCTGCAGTTTCAACTATTCCCTGTCCTAACACACCCAATCCGACTTATTAGGTAATCGTTGAGTCCTTTGTGAGCTCAGTCAGATGTGTTGGGCAGAGAATGCTTAAAACTGAGCAGGCCAGGTGGTCCTGAGGTGCCTCTGATCTACAGCACCAGCAGATTTCTTGCTGTTCACATAACAGAAAACCATAGAGGTGCTGTGGTCACCTTTGGCAGCTATGATGTTTCAATCCAGGCAATTTGTGGTAGCAAAAAAATAGGGAAATTACATAGATACTTTGTACTGTATAAATAGACCAGCCAAATCCCTTACAAATTACATTACCCAGCCTCCTCATCCAGCGAGTAGAGCTTTAGTGTCGGGATCAAAGCTCACCAGCGTACACAGAAATGACTGTGAGAAAAGAGGGTTCATCTAGTTCAGGCTCCTTCATGGTTCTCCATTCTGCTGCATGCTTGTTAAGCTCCCTGTATATGCTAACTGCTCTCCTGTTCTTCCCCTTTTAGAGCCATGAAGAGGCCCCGCTGTGGGGTTCCGGACAAATTTGGGGGTCAAATCAAGACCAACGTACGTAGGAAACGATACGCTCTCACCGGCCACAAGTGGGACAAAACCCATCTGACCTTCAGGTAGATATGAAGAAGGTTGATCAAAAAATGTCTGGACTCCACAGAAATCATGTTAAGTCTTTTGTGTTATCTTCCCTTCACAGCATACAGAACTATACCCCTAAGATTGGGGAGTACAACTCATACGAGGCCATCCGTAGAGCCTTCACAGTGTGGGAGAAGGTAACACCACTGACCTTCGAAGAAATTCCCTACATGGAGGTCAAATACGGCCGTCGGAAGGAGCCTGACATTATGATCTTCTTCGCCTCTGGCTTCCACGGCGACAGCTCCCCGTTTGATGGAGAAGGTGGCTTTTTGGCACATGCCTACTTCCCCGGTCCAGGGATGGGCGGAGACACGCATTTTGACTCAGACGAGCCGTGGACAATCGGCAACCAGAATTTGCAGGGTGAGTCAGCACACTTTCTAAAGTCTTTACAGTGTTGTGAGCGTTTACAATAGGTCAGCATAAATGGTTTAAGAAGCAATCACAGTGTTAAAAGGGGTTTACCATCACCTTTGTAGGCCAGTGACCTTTAAAATGCCCTCATTTACCACCTTTACAGTGATGCAGTCCGCAGTATAACAATATGCTGAGTTAGCAGGCCCATTTTATAGCTTATAATTCTCTGACGTTATACACACTGTGTCTCACAAACAGATTTAAGTGCACAATTGCCCTTTTTTCCTCTTCTATTTAACTCATGTATATTTGTTGCTTGGCTCTCAGTGCTTTACTTTTTACTATAGTCATTTGTATAAATTTACAAAGGAACTGAATTACATCACAACACTGCCCGCTGCTGATTTCCATAGTCTGTGACAGAGAGAAGGTCATGTTTTATGAGCTTTCTCTCTCTTTTTTTGATGTCTAATTATTTGTTGTGTACTCATTAGTCTCTTTGTGCTGCGCCAAGCCCTTAGGTGACCAAAGGTTTCCACTGCCTAGTGCTGGTAGACGTTTTAGGCATGATGGAAATAATAAAAACCCAGTTAAAAGCAATATTTTTTGAGATTCTTTTTAAAGTGTTAAGTATACATCTGAGTTTTTTTTAGGGAGGGAATCATCATCTATCATTTATTTAATGTCCAGACAAAACAGCCATTAAGTACAAGTTGTTCATTTTCAAGAGATATTTCTGAAGAGATTTGATGAAAGATAATGAATTTGCATTAAATTCAAAGAAAACTAAGCGAAAAGTTGAAAAAATACAGAGAAAAATGGGACTCCCAACAGCCATGCAAGACCTGGTAGACCACCAAAAAGGTCGCAATCACATAAACATCTTTGAGAAATCATAGAAAATCAAGCTCCACTCTTGCTTCAGATCTGACAAAATCCACAGCTGTTTCTGTCCAGACAGCTCCATAGAGGATGTGCCACTGTCAAGAAGCCCTTACTGAGAAAGAAGAATGAAAAAAGGAAATTTGCAAAGCAGACAAAGAAGCTGCTGGTGTTATCAGAACAATGGACTGACCACCCTAAAGTCCAGACCTCAACATGACTGAATGTGTTTGGGATTAGTTGGATTGTGAGAAGCATAAAATGCGACAAACTGCTAAGACTGAACTTTGGACGTGTGGGAAAAGATCCCTGCAGATTCAGATTCTTTGAAAAACTGAAAGCAAGTCTCCTGAAAAGAATGGAAGCTCTAATAAAGGGCGTTGGATGGGCTCACTAAATAGTATATTATAATATAAAAAATGTATTATTTAGTTATTGAGGGTTCTGTGTAGTTATTTGTTTAATATAAGTTTTTTGTTTTCTTTCCTGATGCTGAAAAATGGCTGGAAATTAAATGAAGGGTGGTTTTTGCCTTATGTACAGTACTGTATTTCATGCAGGTGCAAGACAATGAAGAAGCTTAAGTATGTATAAATAAATTCTATATAAATAAAGCTGGGCTCACGCAAGAGTTACTCAAGATTGTTTATAGCAGAATGCTGTGGAGGTAAAAGTATCGTGGGTCTGTAGAACCTCTAGAGCTACTTTTCCTCTAGAATTAGAGGAGTCTTTGGGATTTATTCTGTTGCTAGGGACTCCAAAGTCTCATTTGAAATGTTGCCAAGTCCAGCATTGAAGCTGAAAGTTGTTTAGTATTGCTTGTTTTAATCATTAACCATGAAGCATAATTGAAAAATATGAATGCATGTGTGCAAAGTTCACTGAAATAGAGATTAGAGAACTTAATGGCTGCTGTGTTAATAACACACACATGATTTTGTTTTGAGTTGGACGTGCAGAGGTACACCTAGTTCCAATATCATGTTGCCTACACTCTTAAAAATAAAGATGCCTAAAAGGGTTCGTCGGAGTGATGCAATAGAAGAGCCACTGTTGATTTCATACAACATTCAGTGGTTGATTCTTGAACTGTTTTTGGTAAATGTTTGTTAAAAAACTAGGGCTGTGCATTGTGACTAATTCAATTCAAGTTCATGAATTGAACATGAATTCATACCGAAAAACAATGCCAAAAAAATGACTTTGGCTGAAAATTATGCAGAGCTGTAGCTTAGCTTTTTAGGTAACAGCACTGGTGTTGCACAAAAATCTAGTAGCACTCAGAAGAACATGCTTTATTGTTGGAAAACGGCCGAGGGACATCAGTAGCTTTTTGTGTTGGGTGAGTAGAGGCTGCCTCTTCAGATAAGCTAATGAGCTAACACAGCTAACAAGTGTCACATTGAATGCTGATGAGTACCTGTTGTTTTCTACATCATGTAATTTCTCCTCAGTGGACGATGTTGCAACATGTTATTTGTCTAAGAAATCTTTTCAATGTTTTTGGACCTACCTATCATCAACTAGAGCAGTTAGCCTAGTTAGCGGTACAGCCTCGCTGTCTCTCAACAACACGTACTTGCGCTCACGTTCAGGCACCAGTGTTTCGGAGTGGAAAAGTATAACATAACATACTTGCTCACATTTTACTGAATTGTTAGCCTGTGTTTTCTCTGCCTTTCCGCAGTGAAACATAATGAACACCCAGATGTTTCATTTCAGAATTCGAATACTGGTATCTAAAGTAGTTAACCGAGTAGTTGAGTACCCATGCACACACATGAACCTCCATGTAATGTAAACATTCTATGCCAATTCAAGTTTTTTTTTTTTCTAGAACCGTACATCCAGGCCAAGAACCGTTTAGAAGCCTTAATTTTTTAAAAAGATAGTTGAGGTTTAATTTCCGTCCATTTTTGGTACAAAATGACTCTTAGGGTCATGTCAAAGAGGCTCTCTGTCTCTCTTTTCCTCTCTCCTTCTTCATTTGGAGTCACATGGAGAAGATAAAGGCCAGCCTTAGTTACGCCTGCTTGGGTAAAGACTTAGAAACATTCTGCCTTTGAATGCAATTCATCGGGTGCATCGCTGAACTGTCATGATGTCATTACATTCCTGCTTAGCACTCAGCAGGTGGGAGGTGCCGAATAGAGCTGATAGTCGGTAACGAGAGGCGCTGCCATGCTGTCAAACCGTTGAATTCCTGAAGATGGATCTAGCCAGGATGAATTTGAATTGACGTAACATAATGTACCATTCACACGGAAACACTGCATCAGAATATAACCGGAGCTTCAAAAGAAAAGTCCTCTATGGGAATTGCTGATTAATGCAAGGTCAGCTTCCACTGGCTTTAGATGTCTGAAGTGGCTACAGGGTTTCCTTTGTGGCCCGTGGTTGAAGTCTTGGTCACTGTGTCACAGCTGCATGCCGATGTGCACCATATTCAGCCATAATCAGGCATTGCTATCATTCATGCCCCTCAGACAAGGGGCAGCTTTCAGTGGCAAGTCGTGTACATACATCTGTGCCCATCTGAGCCTCAGTCTGTGAAAGACATCATTGATTTAGCTGCCCGAGGCCATTAGAACAACCGTTTAGCGCTCCTCCTATCTGTCGAGAGCCATTAACTCTAATACGGTGGTGTCTCTGGAAAAACCCTGAACAAGCAACATTACTCTTCACTGACCTCATAAGGCGTGCAGAGATGGTTAACATTGTCCACACTGATGAACAGAAGATACTATCACAGGAGGAAGCGGTCAATCATTCTTTTTTTGCTGACATCATAGCTGAAGAATTGTATAGAACCATTTGTACTGCATTAGATCCACAAATCAGGCTGACAGCTGGAGAATGGAAACGAAATATGATTCAAATCAGAGTGTGGGGTGTCATAACTGGCTTTTCCATAAATCATTGCAGACTTGTCAGTTTATAGTAAGTTACGAATATTCTAATTCAAGCCCCATGTACTGTGAATTGCACCATATAGGTTTACAAGTAGTGCCTGTAGGCCATCTGTTGCTGCACAGTTTATCAGCCCCCTTTTACCCTGTCTATCAATGAAAGAGACCACCGGAGGACCACAGCTGACCAGATATTATTTGGGGTGTAGACCATTCTCAGCACACTGATGACACTGACATGGCCGTAGCATGTGGGCCGCACCGGTATGAGTGAATAAGGCATAGCAGCCTGGATTTTTAAACATCTCAATGTCACTGCTGGGTTGAGACATAGACCACCAACCAAAAATATCCAGCCAGCATTGGTCCTGTAGTCAGAAACTGACCCCTGCTGAAGAACTGAAGGATGACCAAGACAAATTGTGCATGGAAAAAGATGAGCTGTAGTTCTACAAAATGCATCATCATGGTGGATGTTTCTAATAAAGTGGTCAGTACATGTACACAGTGTTTACAAAGCTTGTATCAGCTCAATGCAAACAAAAGCACTATTTAGATGAGGTTAGATTAGAGGTGGGGTAATGTAACTTCACCACAGGACGTCTGTAATGTTTATGAACGATTCGCGCTGGATAGGAAATCTCAGTACAATGTCATTGTTTCCAACTAAAATAATCAGCTACCACTGTATGTTTCTCTGAAACGTATTTATTTGATTTCTGCGGACTGTATTAACAGCTATGAGAGCTTAGCGGCTGTCTACAAAATACATTACAAATAGTGATCATCTGCGTCCAAGTATGACCATTTTGCAGCCAGTAGAACCCAAATGATGGGTCTCCGAAAAAAATATCAGCCAAATTTGTACACTTTACCCTTTTCACATTGGCATTTTTGGTACGTGGAGTTGTTGAACTCAATGAACTAAATAATTCCACTGTAATTCCCCCTGTATTTTAGTCTCAGAGTACACTAGAATTGTCATGTCATCTCAATAGTATCCCAGTAGTACTTAACATGGCACTGTAATGCTGGTATCTACTGTTTCAGATTGACCCACGACACATAATAATATCCAGTCAGTTGGTGGTCCTTTAGTCATTCCTTTCAACTGATGGATAATAGAGGGGGGCTCGGTCATAGCAATGGATTGGCTACTGTCAGTAATACCTCCAAAATGCACCTATATGTATTTAAGATAATGAACAATGGATGTAGCTATGTGGTGTACAGTACGCACATTTGAATGAGTAACGAGGAAACTCTCTCCCATCCATTACTTCCTCTTCTCTCTCATCCCAGCACCATGCCTGTTGACCTAGGGTCACCAAGACGACTGGGGTTTCATACAAAGAGCAGATTGAGGGCCTACTTGCTTTCAGCACCAATCCGGAACTAACAGGCAAACCAAGGCCCCAGCTCACCCACAAATCTCCTGCTTCCAACCTCTACCCTATTTATCCAGCCCCCCTATTTATAGGCCCCTAGCATATTTCCAAGCTAAGAAAGGGGCAGTGAAGGGTGGGGGTGGTTGTACCACACTTCTCTTTCCTGTGTCCACTGTTACACACACTGACAATACAGCAGCAGTGTAAGTGACCCATGCGTATCATGTGTCTTCAGCTAGAGGATATTTTCTGATCTGAGTGAATGGAGATGGAGAAGCAGCGCTACGAGATACAAGGAGTAATTGTATCATGGCTTCACCTCAGTGAATCAGCCATTTCCTTCTGTCTGTTAGCTTCTGCTGACTTACCAGCAGAGCCCAATTTAATTTGCTTTGTCATTTAATTTGTCTGTCTCTCTCTCTTTCTCTCTCTCCCTTTCTATTATCCACTGTCTCCCCCTCTGCTTTGTAGGCAACGATCTGTTTCTGGTAGCAGTGCATGAGCTGGGTCATGCTTTGGGCCTGGAACACTCCAATAACCCAATGGCCATCATGGCTCCTTTCTACCAGTGGATGGACACAGACAACTTCCAGCTTCCAGAGGATGATCTCAGGGGGATCCAGCAGATCTATGGTAATGTACACTCTTGGTAAAAATAGTTCTATGTATTATTGATAAAGACACTTGTATAGAACCATTTTAAAAGGTTCTATACAACCCTTTAGTGTCCTCACCAAGAAAAAGCAATGGAATTTTTTTGGGGGGGGCAATAATTAAAACAGTTGGTGGGTTTGACCTCACAGTTTTTAATATATTCATGTCTACCAAACTGTCAAGATGGCACTTTGTGGGAAAATCAGAACATATACAGTGACTCCAAATGTGCTCTGCCAAATGGTCGAGCAGAACATTAAAGGGTTTTAAAAAGGCCCACTGCCTAAAGAAGGCCTCTTTTCTGTGGGGGAAAAAGCAGTGTAATTTTTAGTTAGTTTTTATTCAATAAGATCATCAAGTGTGTTGTGGTTAAACTCTGCAGGTACTGTAGTAATACTCATTTCAGTAGGAAATTTTGGTTGAAAACAAAAGGGTGAAATTCTTGAAACGGCCAAAGAAATACGATCCCTTTTGGGGGTTTTTTTTCCGCCATGGTATGTAGGTTGATACAGCCAAGTTAGCTCTCCTATTGGTGAGGCCTTCAGGAGATGGACTGAAGCACTAACATGTTGGATTAACCACAAACAAAATAAAGAACAAACGGTGGAATCAAGGAATCATGGTTTAATATACAAAGTGTGGGGACAATTCTGTGAGAAAAAAACTTCACATTAACTTCACATTTTAGAGCAATAATGTTAATGTAAATCGCTGTTATCTTGGCGCAAAGTGCTACTGGAGTCTTACAGTGACGCTAGCAGATATTAGCATTGTTACATTTATGGGCCGAATTGAAGGCCCAGCTCTAATAGTCAGTGTGTGCCCCAGAAGAACTTAGACATAACAGTACAAGAACTTTTCAAGAATTTTAATTCACAGATTTCAATTACTTTCACAAAATTGTTTGTGACCAAGTAAAACCTGGTAAAACAATATTGCAAAACCTGCATTTTGTGGAACCATTTGCTAAACTAATGCTAGAACCACAAACAGCTCAACTAAACTATGCTTGAACAGTCCAAGATTTAGCAGTTGTTGTTGTTAGATTGATTAACAATTTATTAACTATTTATTAGAGCATATATAATGACTGATGACATTTTTTGAAAGTCACAGGTTCTTTGCATATTTGTATGAATTGAAAATCATACTTGGAATTTATTTATTTGGCAGTTTATTAGAAAAGATATTTGACACCACTGCAGTTTTGAAATATATACCAGAATATTGTATTACCATTAATATGTTACCAAATGACCCCAATGTCAAATGAGTTCATAACTGTTACCAAGCTATGTAATCCCAGGCTTTAGTCATTATAAACAAGCATTTCATGCTGTTTTAGTGAGTTTTGGCTTTTGTTGTGTTTGGTTTTAGCGTCAGTTTGTCTTGGTGGTATTTGTTCTGAGTGTAACTTTGATAATATTTAGATCTGTAGCAATTTGGTGTGTTTTGCAGGTTGAATGGTTTGTGTTTGGATTGCACTGGTCTAGATGGACACTGAGATCGTTTATATTAGTGTTATTTATGGGTGAGTAGGAGAGGACTCCACTGTGGGTGAGCAGGCTTCATAGTGAGTGCATTGCCAGAGAGCTCTAGGCCTGCTGCCTCATAGCATGCATAAGACACAATGAATGAATTATATATTATAATGTTAGTTCACTTTATGTTCTCTTGTTGTTTTCCTATAGGGCCTCCTGTTAGTACCCCTACTCAAGCTCTACCCACTGTGAACCCTCGTCGTCCTAACCACCCTAAAGACCCTCCAAGAGACCCTCCAAGAGCCCCTCCCCGCCGTCCAGACAGGCCACGCACCACTGACCGCCCAGATCAGTACGGACCCAACATTTGTGAGGGCAACTTCGACACGGTCACCATGCTCAGGGGAGAAATGTTTGTCTTCAAGGTGAGTTGTAGTTTCAGTTTTAGGTAAGAAAAGTAAATAGATCGCTTGTCAAACGTCTGGGGGCACCTGACCTTTCAAAATGTTTTTAATAAAAATCTTTTGTGGTTTAACATATTTGCATATTACCATTGTGTTGAGAAGGGAATTGATCATTACAATGTCAAATCATTAGGCAAATCATACTCTTCCTACTAGGGATTGACCGATTATTGGCCGTCCGATAATCCGAGTCAGTATTGGTAATTTTCGATAATCAGAATTGGCGTGCTTCCTTGCCAGTAAATAGGCTTTAACGTGATCAATATGCGTTCTTTACACAACTTTGACTGAAAGACAAACGTCTGACTCAATATTCCGCTCATAGCTTTACTCGATTGGTCGAAATAAGTATGACATGTCGAATACAAGCTAAATACAGGCTTGAAACAAAGCCTGTCTCATATGATCTTAAATTTAAATATGTGCTTGATTTTGGGGAGCTATTACTATTGTTACTGTCACTATTTTTATTATTTTATTATTATTTTTAAATAATAATATTTTATTATTTCATTATTTTATTTTATTTTATTATTTTAAAAAGTTTATTTTTTAGCAATTTAAAGCTTATTTTGAAATTTATAATGCACGGACCACACAGACAGTCTTTATGCTGTCTGTGTGCTCCATGTGCTTTATTAATTATTTGTCATTTTTATGTTTCATTCAGGTAGTTATTTACATATTTTTCAGAGCAAGTTATTTTTTTAGTCGTTTACATTATCCTTAATCTTTTTGTCATCATTTCCAAATGTTTATAATCCCTGGAAGATACATTTAAGATTTATTTTTAGCATGATGAAATGTTTAGCATCAGTATTTCATTAAACATAATGTCCTTTTAATGTTCATTTTGTGTAGGAATCTTCAAATTTTCACACTATAAACTTCAAATTTATGGCAAATGATTATCAGCCTTCATATTGATTACCTCCATGTTTACAGATAATCAATAATGTTGGCCCTGAAAGATATCAGTTGACCCCAACTTCGTATTAAGGAAGACACTTTATGAACATGAAGCTACATATCGCAAAATATACCCAAGTATTAGTGAAGCTGTTTTATGTTATCACACCGTTTTCAGGTTTTTCCATTAACAAGCAGGAACAAGAAAATTTCAATTTTTCAAAGGAAGGCAAAGAAAGTGTCTCCAGACTTTTGACTGGCAGTGTAGACGAGTCAGCAGTGCATCCAGTCATGCTGCTGATCTAGTTATACGGCAGGATCTGACAGACGTACAGTAAGTCGTTAGCTGGTTAAACAGGCAGGGCATTAAGGTAAAAGCGAGGCCCTGTGCTCTCTGTGTGATTTACTGACTAAATGATGGTCATGGTGCACTGTGGTCAGGAGCAGCTTGGCCAATAAAAGATTTGCGCTGATTTCCAGCTGCAGCACCTGAGGGCTAGGCGGAGGGCTTTGGGCCCTGCTGCTCCAGGCCTGCTCTCAATCAGCCCCCGTGGGCTTGTGGCCTGTAAAACCCAGCGCTGGGCTCGTTTATGGGCTAGCGCTCTGTAAAGAGCAGCACCGCGTCCCTCTGCCCTGAAGTTCATCTGGAGATCCATAGGAATGGTTTAAATACAGCATAGAATAGACTAGAATAGCAAAGATAGTGTAGCTTTACTGTCATTAAACAAGTACAACTAGATTAGGTTTGTGACTTCTGAGTTAGCTGCTAAAAATATTCAAGATTCTGCCCTTTTTTTTTAGGATGCTACTCAAATTTAAGTAAAGTTGTGATCATGTTAAGGGCAGGTTTTTGTTATTGTCTTGACTTCTCCATTGAAGCTTGTGTTCGGGTAACTCTCAGATGAATTTGATGTACTTGTCAGAGGTTTGAAGCAAAAGGGGGACATACTAAGTGCTAAAAAGTTCTGACATGCATTTAAATATGTCAAGAATTTGACTTTTCACTCGACTGTTGTAATTAATTGTTGTACTCAAAATAATTTAATTAGTAATGAAAACCTTGCATTAATGCAGAAAAGCATTTTCACTAGTGGTCTCAGACACTGTAGCTTGCCATTGCTGGTGTTCAGCAGTTTGGAAAGTAAATAAATGTAAGGAGTCTGTGTTGTAAAACTGGCAATTAAGGGGAATTAGTGGAAGTCTGTGGGCCAGTGGAAGAAATGGCTCTACAGCGACTTCTAGTAGCTTTACGCTCAAGCTGGGACTTCATCAACTGCCAGGCCCTGTATGTAATTCTCATAACTACATAACCTACACTTCAGATTAATAAGATTTAGATTAATTAAGATTAATAACTAAATACCAGGCCTGTAGTTTAAAGGGTTAAATGTCCCTGAACAACATCACGTCATATCATGTGATTCTCCCCTACATGAAAGAAGCTGCTTCTTTGTCACGGTGTCTTACTCTCTTGCTTCCCTTTTTTATCAGGACGACTTGGAGCGGATCATATGATCCTCTCTTTTCATTCGATGAAAGGAGTTCTCTCTCTGCCTTTCGGCCCTTTTTTTGGTTGTCCTTGCTGTCTTGCTGTGGAAGAGGTGAGGAAGAGTGCATAGAGCAGCACGATAGGATCTCCTCTGCAGTCTTGCCTTATGTAACACAAACGTTTTGAATACCTCACACAATGAACTTTTTAAAATAACTGTTACAGTATTAAAGTTACTCCTGTAGAGCTAAATTAGACTTATGTACAGGGCACAATGATTAACCCTGTAACAAACGAGATATACCGTTGTTAACAGTAGCTTGCACTGGCTTACTGGCTAGCATTTAATTACAGCAAGCAAGTAGCCACATTTGCACCGAATAAAACAGTTAAACAATTCATTTTGAACCACTTTATTAATGTATCAGGCCACAACTGTCAGCAAACGTCCACAAAACTTAATAACATCACAAAATAAGGTCACCCTGATGCCCTCACTTTGTGCTAAGTTAGCCAGTTCACCAGTTGCAGCTTCATTCTACACTTTGGCTCAGCGCGGCCCTGAATGTTCACACCAGTGACTTGGTTCACACAGTGCACCATGGGTATGCAAGCCCAGTGGGAGCATTTAGTATCTCCCCTTGTTTTGTGGAGGCAAAAATTACAGACTTGAGCTCAGGGCTGGACTGAGAACTACATTCAGCCCTGGACTTTTGTCTAGACCAGTCCATTACAACCACAGTGAACCCCCCCCCCACCCCACCACGACCCCACAGCGATTACGCCTACTATCATAGTTACAGTGAGTGGATGGATATTTTGGAAAAACAATAAACACGGTTTATGTCTTTAAAACACATGAGCGTGAACAAGTGAAATACACTGTAACTTGTCTGAGAAGAGTGACCGCTAGCAAAGTCCTTATAGGAAAGTCTGTTCACTTGCAACACCGCGGGGCAGTTATTTCCAGCCATACAAGACTAAACTCCCATTTCTTTGAATGAGCAGAGACCTAAAAACTCTAAACGAAGGTCAAAGTACCGTCTTAAAAAACATATTTGAAATCTGACAAAAATCTCATGAATAGTTTGTAGCGTTTGGCTCAGTCACGCTCAAAAAATGTTTTTTCGGGTTGCTCTGGCTGCTGTGCTTGCACAGATCTTGACAACAAGGGTGGGCTTTCCTCGATCGCAGTGTAATCTGCAAGCTGATTGGCTCTTTTTCTTAAAGGGTGATACTTTCTCTATAGACCTTCACAGACAAACGCCATGTTGAGCATTATGAGCTTTGCCATTCATATTTCAACCAGTGACCGGTCTCGTCCTTTGTGATGTCTCTGCTGCTAGCTAGTTAGCTAGTTAACAAGCCAGTGTGTCGTAGTACATTAGCATTATGCTAGCCATCTGTAGCCTAAGTGTACAGGTAGACTGAAAGAACTGGCTAAATAACCCCTACTGCACTTTGGCCCTCTGGTATCCAGAAAAATTGTGCACTTTCGTTTCTTCATTTCTTTCTGTTTTTTTAAGCAAGTTTCCGTTTTTTGTTGTGCGCTCCCTCCTTGCTCTTTTTTTAGGTTTTCTCCATCTCTCTCTAGCTAGCATTTATGGCTGAACTTTCCCAGTTCTTATCATTTGCTCTGTTCTGGGGTCGGCAGCATTTGGCCACACACTGAGAAAGCAGTGGGCCGCTAATGTGTCTAGATATGTGTGCTACAGTATCGCCCCAGGCGGGACAAAACTCCAGTCATTTTATGTAGCACTACATTAGAAACTTTTTTCACAAAGTTGAGACATTACAACTGTTGCGGCTGAGTCTCGAATAAGTTGCAGGATGCTTTACATTATGCAACTCAAGTGCAGTTGAGCTGTAGGTTTCAAGCAAACTAAAGTTTCAACATGTTAAGCCAGCCTCAGCGTTAAATTACAAAGTCATAGCCTTCATGAGTTTAACAACAAGAAGTGGGAAGGAGTTTCAGATTACTGTGCTGAAAAGGTCTTTCGGGAGTTCACGGATTACGTAATAACTCTGTAGTCACCAAATGAACAGCATTTACTGTAATGGAGCCTCATGTTCTTGAGTCTAGAGCTCTGTAATCCTCATTTCTTCCCTTTTTCATATCCATGTGAAAGGGTGACTTCTTGTGGCCTACTTGCTAACGTTTGTCACATTAAATGATTGTTGTTTTAAATGATGTTTTAAAAAAGCCAATAACACAAATGAAAAAAGGCTAAACCCAGAGCTAATTAGACACGTGATATTTCTGGAAGATTCACTGGCAGATGTTAACAGCAGCGTTGTGGAAGGATTGTTGTTTTATCTTGTGCTGTGGTTTCATTATGCATTTCTGTTCTGGATTCAGACAAGCTTGAGAGAGTGACCACCCACCAGCTGACTGTATCTGCACCATTTGAAAGGACCCTTGAAGGTTTGCAAAATAATTTGCGCGGTGCGAGTCAGGTGGGTCTTTGGCCATATTGAGCTTAATAGAACACGGCCTCCTGCTTTCTGCAAGCCTGGAACAGTGACTTCTGACTTTTAGGGTATAATGTGTCTTGTCTGTGTACAGGGCTTGTGGAGAGGTACGGCTGGAGTGGATGGGTTAAATTTAGAGCCTGCTGGCTGCAGGCTTGGCGCTGGCTTTAATTTGGGTCAGGTTTGGAGTAATCTAAAGGTCTTGGCTCGGAGCCCAAAAAACAGAGGAGAAATGCAAAGGGCTTCCTCGTAGGCCCCACATGCAGTGGATAAGGACTTGTATGCAGAGTGTGTGCAGTATGTAAAAATAATCCTTGGCAATAAAAGAATCACCTATGGTTCCCTAAAGAACCTTTGAATGGATGGTTTCTTAAAAGAACCGTTTTTGAGATTTGTAAGTATGAGGAATCTTACAACCAATCCAAGAATTATTCATTCTTGGAAGCTGCATGATGGGGGGCCATAGATTGCACCTTGCAATATATCAAAAACACATTAACAGTTTGTGTGGTTTAAAATTGGTCTGCATTATTTTTAACCAGTTGTGTGAATGTCTTGATTAGGCATGTGACAATACACAAATTTTATGATTTCCACCAAAATACGATACATTTTAGAGTATCACAATATAAAGGTGTAAGCATTGTTTCTTCTTTTGTGTGATTTTTAATTCTGAGATCAAGATATTTTAAAAAGACCTTGATTCTACAGAGCTTTAAAATACTACACATAGTGGATTGACTCAGATACATAAAGTTCTCTAGTATAACTTAAACACTCAAAAGTTACAACCTCTAGAGTTTATAAGATCTTCAGAATAAAAGGCCAGTCACTTAAAGGGTGGGTGTGTTCGTAGCATAAGCATCGCCCCTCCCTGCCTTCTCATGTAAGACTCTCGAAAAAGAGGTCAAATGTGTATCAATGATTCAGTTTTACAATCGAAGCTGTTTCAACTTCCGGCCAAAATGAAAAATTTGTGGCTGGTGCTGATTTTAAGGAGCAGAAAATCCTGAGATTGGCCAATACATTTTTATATTTTAATGATATTTTACTTAATTTTATACTTAAGTTATATGTAAGTGTTTATTTTTGGCTAACCAGATATTATTGTCAGGTCTTTTCTTTGTTTTGGTTATTAAACTAAGTATTCAATAGGTCTTTTCATAAAAATGGTTCTTTTATGTTATTCTCTTTTTTGTTATTTTTGATGTTTTGCGTTACCAGATTTGCTGTGCTATTCTAATATGAAGAGGGAGTTACTGACATTGGGTTCCCCAGTGACATAATAAAAAAGGTTTTGTTTTATCATCAGGTAATTGTGAGTTTGAATCTCAGTGATACTGCAACAAAAATGCTGTAGGCCAGTTTGGTTATTGGTTAGTATTCCAAAGGCCAGTGCTGCAGTGGTGATCAACATACAGTATGTTGTGTGGCTCTATTTTGCACGTAAAAGGAATGTTGCATTAGGCAGTGACAGGTGGAAAACAGTGCTACTGTACTGCAGGCTTCAATATGTTGGTTAACAAGTTTCAGCGATTGCCCAAGAACTTTTTTAACAGATGTTTTACAACGGCTTGGTCAATTTTAGGCATGGAAACATGTATTCCCTCAGTGTTTGGACCGCAGTTGCAAAGAACAATGTGGCTTGGCTTGGTTTTCAAACCAGCCTGGTTTCGGCCTCGGTCTGGAGGAGGACCAGCAGCCTTCAAAACTCTGGGCCTCGCTGACAACTGCGGGAGATCTGAAGTGTCTCCTGTGGCCAAGAAGACCACTAATAGACATAAACATCATGAGAGAAAACCTACAGCCTTCATCGCTTTCTAACACTTTCTGTTTCGCTCCTGCAGGGTCGCTGGTTCTGGAGGGTCAGGAGAAACCGAGTGTTGGATAACTACCCAATGCCCATCGGCCATTTCTGGAGGGGCCTGCCTGGAGATATTGACGCAGCGTACGAGAGACATGACGGCAGATTTGTGTTTTTCAAAGGTGATTTTACACACCGATGTTCGCTTAACTCCATAGAAATGTCACTTTTGGCTTTGCAAAGAAATATATATATAGAATAAGCTGTAAAAAGCTCACCAAGTTGTGGAAATCATTACATATGCCAGTTCCGCTTTACGTCAGTTTGCCATGCCCAGTGTATGACTAATTCCTGCATTGGGACATTTTGATCTATGGCATTTAGTAAAGGAAGTGTCTGTGATTTCCCTTAAGTAACTATTAGCCTTAGGCTGATGAATTTTACAGGTAGAGCTAGTGAGAGGACATGAGTTTTTAAATGGTGGAGCCCCTAGTTGGACGCAATAGAGATTTTATTGCACACTCCATGCAACTTATAGGTTGGTACTAAAACCCTTATGAGGCCGCTTTAGCTATTGCACTTTGCCTCACAGTTGCCTGGGTAGCAAAACGCAGGTACATAAAAATAGTGAAGAGTTCGGCCCACATTTGCATTGTGTTTTTTATTACTTCATTAGGCTGTAACCGAAAACAGCCTTGGCGGCAGTCAGGCTTTCCCTAACTGATTGTTCCTGCAGTCATCGTCCATTGAAATCTTAATAACTTCCTGCGTAATCATATCTATGCTGTATTTTCATATTCATTTATATTACGGAACATTGTTGCAGGAATAAAGGGGGAGTTGGAGGGGATTGTTCTGATAAAAGCAAAGACAGAGAAAGAAAAGGAGACAGAGAGAGAGAGAGAGGGAGAAAGGTTTGAAACTTGTTTTTTCTGCTGAGAAATTTGGAAAACGTCTGATGTCATTGGCAAGGTCTTCTTAAACTTGGACGCCTGCCATCAGAAAGAAACCAGGGGACCAAAAAGGCTTGGACGGCAACATCTGTTATATTTGAGGCAAGGCATCGCTGTTGCATCAGCCCGTGGTTCCCCAGATGCAGAGGTTGCACTTTTCAGGGATGAGAATATAGGCCAGTTGCGTCAAACTAGGACTCTCCAGAGGGTGCCACCGTGTCTGCCATGCAATTCATAATAATAGTCATAATCATAATAATAAAAAACCTATAGCTTAATCTCCGTATGTGTTGAGATGCTGGGCAGGGCTCTTTTGTTGGTCAAACCACATGCTGGAATGCTGGAATGGAACCAAACCCAAACTGTTACTACATCTTTTGTAATGCTGTCATACGCAGTGCTTATTTATGTTTTCAAGTGAACAGCAAAACAAGCCTGTGACGGAATAGGGGAGTTTCTCACTCGTTTCTATGACTACCTTAGGGAAAATCCCCTTATATGCACCATAAAAGCCTATTAAGCGTTACTGCCGTTTTTCTCCCTCCCTTTTTTTCCTCATCATAGTTTTCAAGCCAGAAACTCCTTCCTTGTGTTCACGTTGCACTCAGTTCACGTCGCACTCATCCTCTCCTTCTCTGTTCTGCACAGGGAGTCAGTACTGGCTGTTCCGAGAGGCCAACTTGGAGCCAGGATACCCTCAGGAGCTGATGGATTATGGCAGAGATATTCCCTATGACAAGATAGAGACCGCTATCTGGTGGGAGCCATCTGGCTACACCTACTTCTTTAAAGAAGACAGGTGAACGGACAGTCCTGCTTATGTTCCACTGACCAAATTTCTAAGAGTAGCATAAGTGATTTATGTTTATCACTGTAGTTTAACATCAAATGAACATTTTTTCCTGAAAAAAAACAGCACAGGTTTAGCTGGTCACCCATGGTCATACTGGTTGAGCAGCGTACCAGCACCCAAAACACAACATGTGGTTTTACTAATGACCAGCATATCAGCTTCTATTGTTTCTGACCAGCATACAAGCATCCAAAACTCAATATATGCTGGTTTTGCTGGTACCTAGCTATACTGGTCTAGGCTGGTTCATCTAGCAGGGCTTGTGGCTGTTAGTTTCCATTACTTCTGTGCTAGAAAAACTATCATATTTCTGCTGTCATGACAAAATATTGTATCTCCATTTTTGTTACTTTTTGGCATAATTTGAAAACTCTTTCAGGAAGAATAGATCAACAGAAATAGTCTAAATTACTTGGGGGGGGGGGTTGTTACATTAACTTTCGTTAAAGGTTAAGCATGTTTTTTTCTTGCTTTTCCATTTTGGAGATATGAAGTTTTGTTCCAACTTTGACAATGTGTTGTGTGTTTGGATGCCAGTGTGCTGGTCAGCAGCAATGGAAGCTCTCAGCAGGGTTGTTGGCAACATTAGCCTTAGGGTTCAAGTGCAAACTAAAGAAGAAATCTTTGGGCACCAAGCATGTTTTGTCTGACTATATTTGGGATAAAGGGAAAATTAACTATTGCTTTAAGGATTCACAGATGAACTGATATTCCTTTGTCTGTAGGTACTGGCGTTTTAATGAACAGTCGCGTACAGTGGATCAAGGCTACCCTAAGCCCATCAGTATATGGGACTCATCAGTGCCTGTGTCTCCCAAGGGGGCCTTCCTCAGCGATGATGGAGGTGAGTGGGGGGCAGGGCCAGCCAGGAAACTGCCTGAAAACTCAATCCATTGAAGAGAAAAGGAGGGTCAATCAGCAAGAGAGAGAGACGGGAGGGGGAGAGAAATGTGATCAGGGAATTTAAGTTAAGAGCAGAGGAAAGAATGACATCACTGAGAGAAAGAGGATTGTTCTCCCTTTGTCCTGTGCTAGTCTCTTCAGCATTATGAGAAGCGCTTACCTCAGAGAAAAGCTCTCACTCCTAACCTGAGTACCATTGATTAGGCAGAGCCATGGTGTCATTCTCATCGGGCACTTTGGTGTAATTGTCAGATGTATAATTGAGTTTCTGCTGGTTGCATTTGGCTGTACTCTTCCATTTTGCTGTCCACATTAGTATGGTACACTAGGCAAGTGAAGTAAAATTCATAATGTATCACATGAATTTCCATAACTGCTTCACACATCGACTGCCACTCAAACAAAACACTGTCATCTTTAATGTAAAATGCATAATGTAGACAAATAATATGTTTTAGATGAATGAAGAACAGAGCTGTAGATAACAACTGATAATAACTGTGAAAGCTCTTTAACACCAAGAGTGAAGTTAATATACGAAGTGAAATTAATATCCAAGATATCTCATATTTGAAAAGATATCAAATCTTGAGGCTGATAACTTTGAGCTGTAAATTTGTAAGTAGATATATTCAATGTTATTTAATATCTAATAACTTTGTGTTGTTACCGTTGTTATATCAATCACAGAAATTATTAATATGACAAGTGATTCCAAACTTTTGAACATTTATGGCACTTGGCAGATGCTCTTATCCAAAGAAACTTTAATCATGTTACAGAAGTAGGTGAATGTAGGGTTTGGAGTCTAGCCCAAGGACTTATTAGAATAGCATGGTGAAGGAGTGGACAGTATAGCAGAAACAGGCCTTATTATGTTCTCTTTGTAATGCAGTTCCTCGGTGTTCGCTGATAACATCCACTAAATGCTCAGAAAAGTGTATTTTGATGTAACGTATTGGAATTTATCATGATATGAATAAATATTGTCATATTGGCCACCCCGAGCATGGTGTGGAGGAGAGCACTGTTACCCACTACATATACTAACCGCAACTGTAGTATATTTTGCCAGCCAGATAGGAATAGCACATCAGTTAAGTTAAGAACACTGGTGATGTACAACATACATTTCCATTACTCTTGCATGCACCTACTTGCCTGTGTCCAACACCCTGTCTTTTCCCCCGACAGCCTACACATACTTCTACAAAGGCAGTAAATACTGGAAGTTTGACAACCATCGTATGAAGAGTGAGCCTGGCTACCCCAAGTCCATCCTGAGGGACTTCATGGGCTGCAGCGTGGACCTGGACCCAGACAGAGACACGGACGTGGACCCGGGCCGCAAGTGGCCTGACCGCCCACCGTTTAACCCAGACGCCGGGCGGGACAAGGACAAGGAGAAAGATAAGGACAAGGAGCGAGACCGCACCAACGATGTGGACTACAAGGAGGCGACAGAAGAGGAGACGAACGAAGTGGACGTGGTGCTGAAGATTGACGAGACGGAGCGCACCATGAACATCATCATGGTGGCTGTACCCCTGGTCCTGGTGCTGTGCATCCTGGGCCTGATCTACGCCATCATCAACACGCTGCAGAGGAAAGGGGCGCCCAAGTACTTGGTGTACTGCAAACGCTCCTTACAGGAGTGGGTGTAACTTTTCACTGTTTGACTTTGACTGACCTCTGACCCCTGATCTCTGTTCCCGTGTCTTTTTTTTCCACCCCCTCCTGGTGTATGTACATGATAAATGTGTGCGCGCACACAAAACACACACCTTATACTCTTTTGTCCCATGGTGCTGTCCTAATGAGTTGACTGTAGTCTATTTATATCAGGAAGTTTGCACATTGTTTTTATTGTTATCCTTTCTTCATCATGGATTTTCTCCTCCTGCTTTTGAGTTCGTATTGTGTGCACATTTCTTTTTATTTCTAAACGAGGAAGTTTCTCTGTTCTGCAACAGGGAACGATAACAAACTGCCGTCCGGCTCCGCAGTTGTGCTCTGGACGAGGAGAAAGCAAGAACACAGGACAACAGAAATCGATAAGCGTGTGCAGTATATAAAAAGGGAAGAAACGATGTAAATCTCTCCATCTATGAGATCGCTTTCTAATCGCTCCCTTTACTCAGGTCTTAGCTGACTGGGCAGGCCAGAGTTCAACACGAAAGGCCTGGTTAAAATGGTGAGGGCCATAGGCCCCCCTCTTTCAACGCAACTGTGCATTCTGGAGCTCTGCCTTTACCCACGCTTGCCTATGATGAGGAACAAAAATCACACGCGTTTTATTGCCTTAGTCAAACCACTCACGCTATTGTTTTAACAATGGTGCCTTGGTCTTGCCAGCCAAAAGCCTTCCTGTGGTTTTGCCCCTATAGGAGGAGCCCTCTGACCTCCCCCATGCTGCCTGGCGTGTTGCTTTCTCTCTATGGCCCTGTGATACTGTGTTGACTATAATCTTTTATTGTCAGAGGAGCATAGCTCACGTGGTGCTTTTCATTTAGGACAAAGGCGGAGTACTGTGAAACCGCTCTGCAGGGGATGGGAGGGAACATTTGAGGTACTAGAGGACAGAGGGAGGGGTTTTAGCAAATGTTGATGCAGGAGCCATTTGCCAAGTGTAGGCCTGTTTTAAACAATACAATACGAAGAAAAGGCTATAAAAGCCATACCACTAGTGCATACCACTCAAGCGTTCCAATTGAAAAGTCAATAAAAAGCACTCAAAAGTTTTGCTTATCGGGGGCCCAATTATAAATAAAAGCCTTACTGGGCCTCTCTCTCCCCCCTGTTAAAGACTGTTAGATAATCCTTTCATTTTTAAAACAGCAGGTGGGTGAAAACATTGCTAACCTCCAGCAACCCCAACACAAACCCCCCCAGCACCAAAGAAATCCCTCTCTCATCTGCCCGAAAGGTGAGAGGACAAGAGCGAGGGGCATGAGCAGACAAGGGAAGAGAAAGGAACTAAGAAATAGAGAGAGAGAGAGAGAGAGAGAGAGAGAGAGAGAGGGAGAGAGAGAGATCTGTTTAAGTTCAAAGGGAGGGGGGTTTCAGCTGCAGAAACCTTATCTGCTAAGTCCACTGGAAGAGGCTTACAGTCTGTTATTCCAAAGGCAGGGCAGGCTTATTTTACACAGATAGGCTGATTTTGATGGTGGGGGAGGTATAAAGGGGCGTCTGGCCTGATGCTGCCTTCATGAGATATCAGAGTTATTGTAAAGTTGCATATATGTAAAAGTTGCACACGAGTGTCCCTTGAAGTCGGAATTACTGAAAATACTAAGAAAAAACATGCACACACAGGTTCCCTGGTAATGTGGTCATTACAAGTGGAAACTTTGGATATGATATAGTTTCTGACTGTATCCTTTCAGTGTGGTGGAGGAAAGGATGGTGTCTGTGGTCAACAATTGGTAAAATGTTAGAAAGGTACCAAAAAGAGATCAAGAGGACTAATTAACTCAAAACTTTTCCCACTACACAGCACTTGAAATGCGAAGACTTTGTAATTACGACTTCACAAGTGGAGAATAGGACCGTCCAGCGAGCACAGAGAGGCAGCATGAGTGGCCAGCTAGTAGAGGAGAGTAGAGAGCTAGGCAGAAGTGCAGTCCCCATATGGGAGCATGCTGGCATGCAGTTGCAGTGGCCACTCTGCCACGGGTTATTTTAGAAACACATTCTTTGAATGGGAGCGGAAACAGGATCTGTGGCTGGCATCCGTTGTGCTTCCATTCAGGAGCTCCAAGCTGGACTTTGCACGTTTGCCCACACTCGTCAGGATTCCATAGAGCAGACAAGGCCAGTGACTCGACTTTGCAAGATGGACCTGCCATCCTTGTTTAAAATATAAACTGCTCTCCGAGGTGCTTTGCTTAGTCTACTGCAACCCTGGTCCTGGAGTACCCCAGCCTTGCATATTTTAGTGTTTTCTCCGTTCTAACACACCCACTTCAGCTCAGGAAGAGCTTGTTAATCAGCTGATTCACTGGATCAGGTGTGCTAGTGTCAAATATTTCCTGCCCCACCACACTTGATTGACCTCATCGAGACCCTCATAATGGAATACTTCAAACTGTGCAAGGAGGGCAAGACAGTCAGTCCACAGAACTCAGTTAGAGCAGGAAAAGCACCTAAGGAGGGGTCCTCTAGGACCAAGATTGGGAACCACTGTGGTGTTAACCTTGTAACACTATGCAGATTCCAAGACAGAGCCAATAAACGCTCTTCACCTCACTTGAGATGTGCCTCTAATAATCCCAGTTATTCTCCCTCCACCAGCAGAGAAAAGTTCTCTTCGCAAAGGCATTGAAGACGTAGCGAAGTGAACGAACGAGCGCGGTATTATAAATATTGCCTTGCCGGGCGAGGTTGAGTCGAAAGTGCTTTCATAAATATTATTGAGAAGGTAGAGGAGACGGAGGACAGTCATGATCCGCATGCTGCCGCTGATGGAGGCCGTTCAGCGCGGTTGCCAGGCAGCACCCCCCCCCCTTGTCTCACTGTGCTCCCGTCATCTGGGGAGATGTGGAGGAGAGTTAATCAGAGATAAAAGCTCTTCCGCCTCTCCCTCCCCTCCTGCCCAGATCAATGAGGAATACACAAACAGGCCTGAAGGGTATCTGGAGGGAGAGGAGACTCATTCGCTCATCCAGACAGACGTAAACCCCCACGCTCGCCCTGCGTGTGCCCATGTGAGCTCACTTTCATCTCAGCCCACACCTTTACGGCCTTGCTTTTAGAGACCTTGTGGCTGTTCTTTTGGTATGCAAATTGATTGATGTTCTTTTTGTGTTTGCTCATCCAATAGAAACCAAATGCTGTGTCAAGGCCTGCTAGTAAGGACTGTTCTTGCTTTTCATGAACCGTGGGTTTTTCCCAGAGTGGCTGTTTTGCATCATATCAGTCAGTAACCCTTCATCACGGAGGTGAAATGTGTGAAAAAATAAGATCATACCCCAAAAATGGCTGATCAGTAATGAAAACTGGACATGTTTGTGTACAGCAAGGTGTAGTAAATCCAGCTCTTTTTCCAGCCAAGCTTCAGTCTCGGCATTCAAGACACTCCTTGACTTTGGTTCTGGACCTGGCTCTCACAACAGTGGCCCCTCTCACTCTGGGCATTATTGTCCTGAATATTTTGTCTTCTGGCTGACAGGAAGAAAGACTGGGCTTTTGGCCAAATCCAGGAAGCATCCTCCCACCGTCGCTCACACTCTAGCATAGCGATCTTAAAGGCATTGTGTGTGGGTGACCTTGGGGGGGTTTAGTAACATATTTCCTAGAGATGCAGCTCAACGATCTACTTCAGTGCATTGTTTCTAGCAGCACTGTAATCATGCAGGCTTAATCCACACTTGGACAGGAGACCTGCTTTAGTGACAGATATGTTCGTATCAGTGATCTTTCTCATTTAGTCACTTTTTTGTGATTTAAGAGGTGGTGGCTTTCCTTCTCCAGTGTAAATGTCTCTGACCCATCTGTCCTGCTCATTAGGCACTTGTCCATTCATCCCACAGTTGCAGTCAGTGAATAATGGATCTCATGGTGGCTTGCGAAATGTGTCATGTTCAGTGTTACGTCTAACCATGTGGTATCAGATGAGTAGACAGAGTCAGAGGATGCAGCATTGTGCCATATACACCAATGGTTTCACTACGATCTGTCTCAATGTTAAGCAGACAACAAGAATGACGGTATGTCTGGGCCTGCATCCCTGTCTCAGAAGCCAGTGTCACCTTAGCTCATGAGCCAAATACCATGCTTTTTAATACTAGATGTGGCAGTCCACTCACCGAGTCAGGTAAAGAAATAGAGGATCACTAACGTTAAGGCAGTGTCATGACAATTTCGCACGCAACTTGTGTTGCGCTGCAGTTACTTTTTAAAAACCTCATCTTTATTAATTAATAATGATTAAATGTATGATTATATTTCTGTTGTTTCAGTTAAGTTGATTTCCTGATCTTAATTGATCTTAATTGGTTGTTTTTGAATTTGTAAATATTGTAGGACTTTTGAAAGGTTTTTTTTTTTATTTTATTTTACTTTGTTAATAACATTCCGTTCTCGTGATTAGATTTTTTTCAGATGTAGAAGCTGAAGATTTTATACATTTGTGTTGTTGTTTGGTCACATCTGTTGAGTGTCTTTAATCCATGCTGGACATGTAAACAATAATAAATAATAAATGCTCTGAAGATGAAATATGCTCAGTGTGATCTACTATTATTAGTAGTAATTATAATAATAATGAAAATGTTGGAGAAAATAAAAACTATGCATTAAAATGAATAAAATGTGCCAGAATGTAAAAGTATTTTAAGTATTAATAAAAGTATTCAATTAAGTAAATGGTATGGTATATAAAAGCAAAGGAAAATTAGACAGAAAAATAGTAAATAAAATAGTGATAAAAGCAAACAGAGTTAAATTGACTGGGGACAGAGAAAGTTTCAATACTCTTAGATATCTTAGAATTCAGAGTTGATCATAACTGGTAACATATCTGAAATGTATGTCCTCAGTGTAATTATAGAAGTGATAATTACAGTCAGAATAAACATGCACCACAAGAACAGAAGGGGGCCCATTATAGAGCCCTGTAGAACACCAATCTGAATGCATTTTTCCACGACACAACCTCCTAAATAAGCACTATTTTCAAGCTAAATTTGTATGAACCCACATCTAAGACAGTTCCAGAGAGACTAATACTGTTGTCAGAAACTTTGATTAACCCTTAACATTCCAGGCTTATTACATACTAAGGCTTATGATGCTTTAACTACAGGGACTTCAGTGCAAACTAATGGAGCTTTTCTTAGGTTATAGAAGTGTGTAATAAAACTTTGACAAAACAATGCTTGGTAAGGGGTTAAGCTGTG